AGTTTTATGAGTGGTGAAACTGATCTTTTATTCTGTTTCTTTTTCATTAGAAAAACACTATGCAAATTGCAAGAAACCAGAAACGAAAAAGATTACAGATGTGTTTCCTAAAGCATCAGAATTACAGCAATCCATACAGAATAACAGTCACTTGGAAGACAATATTGTGACCAGTGACAGTGATAATTTAGAACTTGTATTAGAAGATGAAGAATCGTAAGTTATATTTTGTTTAAGAGTTTATGTACAGTATATATGGAACTCTACTTGAGAAAGTATTCAATTCACTTGATATTGGACAGTACTGGACACTATTGTTGCAAAAGAAAAATTAATAGTTATGTTCAATTATGTGTAAACGAGAGTGAATAATCCTATAGCTTGTAAAAATTACACTCAATAAACTGTATCTTCAAAGAAAGGCAGTTTTTTATGCGTATTCATGAACAAGTTATACGTCAAATTTAGTTTGCCTTAGACATGTCTAACATCACTATCATTCAACAATTTAGGTCAATCAAAATTAAAATAATTAAATTTTTTCCAAATTAAGCATAAACAAATCCCAACGTTCATCGTATCAAATTACTAATAAATTAATTATAATTATTTCGGTCTTAGCTTGACTTTTTCTTTAATTCAAAGCAAACAACAAAATGAAATTAATTGTTGTACTGATGAGTGGTTCGGTCAAAGTGAAGACCCATGGCAGATATCCCATAATGATATTAATTCCCACGTGACTGATCCCTGGAATAATGAAACCAGCACTGATATATGGGAAATGGCGGATTATCCTGATCCATTTTCTGCTGATAATACGTCTAATAACACAATTACATCATTGTACGAAAACAGTACATTGCTGATTTCGAGTGGAGAAGCCCAGAATCCAATCCCTACAGCAAATTTGTTAGAGCAACTTTCCGATTCTGACAGCTGTTCAGACTATGAACTACATTTGATAGATGTCGATAACGATTCGGGTAGAGAAGATGTTATAGAGGATAGTGGTGCTGCCAGGTTTCAATTTGTTGATCCAGTGGCTGAAATGCTTGACTCAGTTGTGCAAAGTGGAGTTCTTCCCAAGGAGCACATTTTCTATAAGTTAGTCTCTAGTGTTCTCGAATATGTATCGTATAATCACACAAGGGGAGAAAAATATCAGTGGGACCCAACAATTGTACGTTGGGCCAGATCACTTCTTCGACTGGGTAAGAGTCGTACGTACAATTTTCTTCGAGGACCTGGTGGCTTCAACACATCCAAGGAGGTTAAGCGCCAGTTAAAGAAACGTATGGATTTCGGGCGGTTTGGTATACCGTTGCCAAGTAAAAGAACGTTGCGTCGTAACAAACCTGGTTATACTACAGCAAGTGGCATTATCAGAAACCTCCTTATCTCAGTTCTGAAGATTGCTGATGTGCAAAATGCAAGTTGGTGTGTTAATAATTCTGACGTCAAAGCTATAGCAATTTCTTTGACAAGGGATGGACTTGGCCTCAAACCTAGCCTCGAACTTGATGAAAGAAAAAAAACACTTGTTGGTTCAACGAAAACAATCGATATTGATTACATAAAGAATAACCCCGTGCCTAATCCTTCTGAACTAAAAAAGAATATGATTAAAGATGCAGATATTTCAGTTGTAACAACTATCGATAGAAAGATCAGCCTTGCCGTCGGTGTAAATTACGAAGCCGCAGCTCAAACTGGAGTGGAAGTGCTAGCCGAACTTTAGGAAATTGCTGGAAAGTTGCAAACATGTCTCACGTGTCTTGAAGCGCAGTCAAAGTCAAGTAAATCAATTTTGATTCATGACTCTGACTGCACGTCTCGCTGTCAGTCTTGCTTGGAACAAAAAGAAGTTTGTGTAGAATGTCGAGAAAAGGGCATGGAAAGTATAGAGCCTCAGCTGCGACCTTGTGAGAAATGCTTATCTAACAAAAAACAGTGTGTCAAGTTTTTGATAACTGGTTATTCATCAGACTGTGAACAAAAAAACAAAACAGCTTTGGAAATTATGCTATCACAAAAGGAAGACGAATCGGAATCTCTACAATCAAACATGCGACTTACAGAAGGAACCCCAGATGCAGTTCATGTCGGTAAATGCCTTAAAGGAAGCCTCGCAAACTGGTGGCTAGTAGTCGATGACTGTCGTGTGAACTTAGCAATCTTACGTACTATTCGCCAAGACTATAAATCAGAGACCGGAAAACAACTAAGGCAAGCAATCAAGCTAGAGTCCGTGAGACATCGAGATAAGATGTCAACTGAATCAGTCGCAGAAATTTGTAGTGAAAAATGCCTGTCGGTTTTAGAATCCATTCAAAGTCGATTTGATGACATAGTCTACACGCTAGTGCCAGAGAAACACCGAAACACAGATGATAACAAATCTAACACATTCATGCTTCCAGTTGATCTAGTAAAAGACTCGGAAGACATGAGCAAATTGTACGTAGCAGATAGTCAGAAAGGAACAGTATTTGAAGTTCGTCTTCATTATCCAGCGACAGTGAAGGTGGTTGCTACCGGTTATACCAATCCAATGGCAGTGGCAATGGTACATGGTACTATTATTGTTGCTGAGAGAATCGGACATGTGTACTGCGTTGACCCACATCTAAAGTTGCAAGTTAAGGTTGCGTCAATGAAAAAGTCTGAAATGAATGCGTTTGTTACCAGGCATAAAGTTAAAATCAACTCTCGGCATGATGGGCTTGATGAAAATGCCAAAAACCACAGCCGTGAAGAGTTAAAGTCAGCCATACATCAGTTCCTACAAGGAAATAAGAAGAAGACGGGTAGCAAAGGAACATTGTTGGATCTGAAACCAGCTGTTAAAACACCAGTGGTGATGACAAGCCTTGCTGACGAAATTCTGTTCATTGCTGATACTGGCACCAGGAGACTAGTTGAAGTAAGGGTAGAAAATGCAGATTTCAAGCTGGAGTGTCACTCTCGAATCGTGACAAACTTTAAGGATAACGTCAATCCTACTGGAATGTGTGTCATCGAAAACCAACAGAAGCTACTGCTTGCTGATTCAGGTCCTGCTGGTGGCCTTCTCATGATCAACCTAGAAGATAGCACCACCACACAACTCCTGCAGAATGAAAGTAGTTTGTGTCGTCAAATTCACGGAGTAAGTTTAAGTGGTCAGTCGGTTCTTTTCACAGACACCAAATCACACTCGGTGAAACGATTTTCTCTCAACGGACCTATCCTAGATGGAACAGATGTAGTTCAGACAGTTGACACAGTCACTGGCAATGGCTCAAGCGGAACAGAAGATGGGTTACTCGACGTAGCAAGAGTTTCTCATCCTTCCGGGATTATCGCAGAGTATGGTACAATTTTTTTTATTGATACAGCAAGTAAAAGCGTAAGGCTGATAACGAAGGTATCGGCTTTGATTAAATACATCCGAATATTGGAAAACATCTATCGTGCATTTTACATGCGGAACTGCCATCGCTTTTGAAAGCAGAACAACGCATTGAAAAAGCAGAAGATGAGCTAAAACAAATGCTTCAGAACGTTAAGGCTAAGTTCAAAGTTTCCGGAGTGATGCAAGGACCGCAAGGAACGCCAGCTGAGAAAACCGTGAAGTCAATAACTATGATCAAAAACTTTCTTCATCGTCTCCAGACCAAATTTAGTGAAGAATTTCCCCATCTTCTCGATGTAGCAGATGTAAGAACCTTTCTCACCCTGGTCAACGAGTACTTTAATAGCGAAATGAGACAGGTAACGGACACCCCCACTGTGTTAGATTGTGCAATTAACTTCGTGGAGGCTGCGGATGAGACGTTAAAGAGGATTGCATGGCCTGGGTACATATGCTTTACCAGGGAGAAAGAGCACTATGAGTTGCCCACGGACTTTTCTGTGAAATATGAAGATTTGCTCCAAGTTCCCCAAGAACCAACTACCAGCATCAGTAAGGAGGACGTCAAACTCCTTAACGATTGGAGAAATGAATTTGGACGAGGAGTTAGGCAACAGTCTGTGCGAAACTCCTTTACTAAAGATAAAGCGGGTACTCTGCCTTTCTACATGTACACTTCAGTAAATTCAGACGAAGATGTTGATGACCAAGTTCAAATGCAAATGGAAGAGCTGTTTCAAACAGCCTATCTAGCGCAAGAGGAAGATACAGCATTGGATAGAGGCATCAGTTGCCACTTGGGGACAGCATCCCAGGCTGAAAACGGAAATGAAAGCGATAATGTTCACACGAGTCCAGTAGCACACACTGCAATCTATGCCATTAAAAGCAGATCCAACTGTTTCTCTCTGCTTATCTCGGACAGTATGGAAGGTAACAACATCACCGGTACGGAATACGTCGTCATGGACGAAAGTTCGTTTACCTTTGAAACATATGGAGAAAGAGTATCTTCCAACAAAGATCGTATTATCTGTGAGGTAGATGACACGTCCGTAACATCGTTGTTAGATAAGAAGTTACAACTTACGGAGGAAGCATTCTGTAATACTCTTTCTACTTGTCGACGTGAATGTGATACAGAAGTAGATGAGAGACATGAGACAGATGACACTGAACATCACCTCCAAACTGCTCTCGACTCGGAAGATGAATCAGATGAAACTGGTCTTACATCTATCTGGAGTAGAAGAAGGTCCGTGCGACCCCCTCGTCACTTTGAAGACTACCTATGAAATCAGTGAGGTATGAACGAATGGTAACATCACGTTTTCGAGTTTTCCCTTTAAGATTAAGATGTACTAAGATTCCATTCGGAGTTACAGTATATTATAACTGATACAACAAAGCGGCCAAGGGTGGCGGTGCTAGTAATTGTCCTTCTGACAAGAGAAAACTACAAAACGTGATATTACAAAATCAATAGGTTGCAAAATTGCCACAAAATTTCGGCGTATTAGCTGTTAAACTGAAACTCGATGCCAGTCATGAGCAAAATTACATAGGACAGCTTAATATAGCAACATAGCCAAGTTAATAGAAAATGGGCGGGAGGCGGGAGACAATTCGCAAAAAGGTACGGGAGGCAGAAGAGGAGGTACGGGAGGCGGGAGATGTTGACCCCCCTGTCCCCCCCCCACTAAACAAAAGGCAACTTTTGAAAGTGATTATCGTTTTGATGCTGGTTATACAAAGCCAATTGTTACGATAAATGAAAAAGATGATTTTGTGAAATGTATTGCTCTTCATTATACTTTGCTTGTTTCCCTAAGTGAGCTTAATCAATTTATCGATGGGCTTAGTACCTGCAATGTGCTAAACCTTATTAAAGTAGACCCGGATAGTTTCAGAGGTTTATTTGAAGTGGGGCATGCAGAGCTCACTGCTGAAGATGTTGATGCTATCTTTGACCCTGTTTTCAGTCCAACTGGCAGCAACAAATATGCAATTGAACAGAGCATAATTTTCAATTTCAACCAGTATCTTGAGGATGCAGAAAGCGGCAAGGTGATTGGTCAACTGGAAGATAGAGAAGTTAAAATATCTCTTAGTGATATTTTTCAATTTGCAACTGGTGCGCGACATATTCCTGCTGTTGGCTTTTCTCCTCGTCCTACCATAGTGTTCCTTCATCACTTACATATGGCAAGAAAGATAAGCACAAATTCATGTGCTAACATTCTTAAGTTCCCAGTAAGTGGTCTAAATGATGGGAAAAAATTTTCTGAAGAGTTCACGTTTTGTCTGCTGAACTCGCCTGGGTTCCAATTAGTTTAGAGTATATTTAGGGCGCATTATGCATCGTGATAATGATACAAATATACCAATAATTATATACATAGTTAAAGGCTATGCGCAAATGGGCATCAGTTTCGAGCATACTTAAAAAGGTTTTCGTCCATCATCTTTTGGGAGCATGATTACGCTGTCCAATGCATATCTCAAATATATTGAATTCTCTCCAACGACTGTATTAGATTAGTATCGTTTCACATAAATGAAAACGCTCGAAAACGCCTTACAGTTCGTACATAGTCTTTTTAAATTCATTTCAAGATTTGGAACAACATTTATGATTCCATAATTGGTTTGATATTCTTAGGTTAAAGTTGGTATCAGTTTTTTAAAAAAGAACGATGTAAAGAGTTCAATATTATGCCGTTAATATTATTTGCTGCTATTTATTGAGCAGCAACCAACAGTCTACTATACAAAATTAGCGCTTCCCTCGCAGAACTTGGTGCACCAAGTCTAAGGAATTGACTTATATGAGAAAAGTATTCATGATAAATCAAGCAGTCATTATTCTCCGGTATACGAAGTTCATTATCAATTTCCTCCAAATCTTCCCGGTTGTATGTATGTTTGAGGTCTGTAGCACCGACACTTTCAGGTAGAAAAAATAGATTATTTGGGATGCCTGAAGCCGTTTGAAATCGCGACTTACGGATGTAATGATTATTCCACTCTTCCATAACGCCATTTAATTCGTTTTGTATAAGATTCTTAAAGCAGAACCAGATACATTCAAGATGTAATTTATCACTTGTATCCAGGCGACCCTCATGTATCATGTCTTTGAAGAAATTTATCCACCAAGTACTCCATGTTCGTCTTAAAAATGCCCACCAAGCCTCGATGCGCTGGTTACTATGTGAGGAGCCAAAGCGATGTGCTTTCAAACCAGCAAGAGAATCGGTCCCATTTCTTCTAAAAAAACACTGGACTGATGAGACGAGTGAATTTTCTGTTCCTCGGTCAGTACGTAACACCGTTGGGCAACCTTGTATTTCAATGATAGCGTTTTTAAAAAGGTTTGCAATCACTCTAGGATCATTATTACTTTTTTCCACTTTCAACCATATCAAACGTCTACTAAATCCGTCGATACACGCGTGTATAGGCAGCCCATAAGGTTTGAGTTTGTCGTACCCGTCGATGTGCCAACAGTAATTAGGCCCGGGATTAGAATATGTTCTTCTTGTAAGCTTGTGAGCTCTTCGAGTTTTAACACCTTCAGGATCCAACTCTCTCATTAACTCCTCTACCGCTGATCGGGGTACATTAATGTCATATTTTAAGTGAAGTCTTCGCCACATCGCTCGGTAACCAAGTAGGCTACCAGGGCCGTCCAGTTCCGTGTTTATACGTTCGCGAAGAAGATCTTCATCGATGTTACGATTTCGCCTGCTCAAACCATAACTTCTTAAACGGTTTAAGAGAGTTCGTTTTGACATCTTTATGTCATGATGTTTGTCTAAGAACTCTAGTATTGTATTATATTCGTAATTTCTCCTAAAATAATATCTGATTGCTTCCTCCTGCATTCCGTCGCGTTTTTGTGCTTCCTACCACCACAAATTTAGCAGGGATAATGACAGGAAGCGAAGACGTCACGGTAAACAATAATAGCCTATTTCAAACGCCAAGTAAGGATAAACAAATAAAGATGTGTTTTGTGATTCTAAATGTGTTTTGTGATTTCTAAATGTGTTTTGTGATTCTAAATGTGTTTTGTGATTTCTAAATGTGTTTTGTGATTTCTAAATGTGTTTTGTGATTCTAAATGTGTTTTGTGATTCTAAATGTGCTTTGTGATTCTAAATGTGTTTTGTGATTTCTAAATGTGTTTTGTGATTCTAAATGTGTTTTGTGATTCTAAATGTGTTTTGTGATTCTAAATGTGTTTGGTGATTTCTAAATGTGTTTTGTGATTCTAAATGTGTTTTCTGATTTCTAAATGTGTTTTGTGATTTCTAAATGTGTCTCGTGTTTTGGATAAAACAGGCGAAGAAATGTAATTTTTGTTTTGCTATGTTTGTTTTGTGTTTTGCACTTCTGGGCCACCGTAGTAATCAATAACTTCCATGAGTTAGCCAACAAAGCATAAAACATAACACACTATACCTTAAACTTTAGAAGACTGTGGAAATTGAAGACATACCATCACCAGGTCTTTTTCCAGAGAAGGTAAAAATTGAATAAAATGTTTTCTGACTTGCAAGTCAGAGCTAAATATAAGATTAAACTCTTCACCTTTAGGACAAAAATAGTATATATGCACAATTTTTTCTTGCTACATCATTTTCGCATGTATTGTTGAATTGGATTTTTTACTTTTAAAGGCCACTAAAATGATGATCCATCATGAACGGGTTGGGGTGTGGGCACACCTATTCCTTATCTTATAACTTTTAAACTGATATATGTCAGCCAACAAATTCACTCAAGAACCAAAAAAATCCACTCAATGACAACATACAATATTCAAGTAAACCTACCTAAAATTTAGATACTATTTGTACTTGGTATTTCTATACTTTATTAAGAATAGAATAAGATGTTTTCTAACTTGCATGACAGAACTAAATATAAAAGATAAAACCCTTCACTTCTTGGATGATGAAGCTAACAAAGATGATGGTACTGAAGAAGACACTGATGAAGATGAAGAGGACCAAGAGAAAATGGTATAGATACACAATTGTTCCTCGCTACTTTATTTTCACATGTATTATTGGGTTGCATTTTTTGACTTCTGAAGGCCACTAAAATTGATGATCGATCGTGAACGGATAAGTGTGTGTTCACACCTATTCCTTATTTTATAACTTTTAAACTGATATATTTCCGCCAAATTCAAAATTCACTAAAGAACCAAAAAATGCACTCAAGGACCAGTAATGATGAACATGAAAAAGACCAAGAGAAAATGGTATAGATACACAATTGTTCCTTGCTACATCATTTTCTCATGTATTGTTGGGTTGGATTTTTTGACTTCTATAAAAGGCCACTGAAATTCATCATCGATCGTGAACGGGTTAGGGTGTGGTCACACCTATTCCTTATTTTATAACTTTTAAACTGATATATGTCCACCGACTGATTAAAAATTCACTCAAGAGCCAAATCCACTCATAAACCACTTACAGTTTTCATGTATATACCTACCTATAATTTAGACACAATTTCTATACTTTAGTGTACTTTGGAGAGAATAGAATAAAAATTTGGACATATTATTTTGAACATATCGTTAATTAGGCTGCGTAGAAAAATAATTTTCCGAGGTATCAAAAATAACCCGAGGCCTCAGGCCGAAGGACGTTTTTGGCACCGAGGGAAATATTTTTGGACCAGGAACTGGTCCCTAACCGCTGCTAATCTTGTTGTTGTTGTTGTTGTTGTTGTTAGGGGGCGACGCTCTTTAAAAAAACCCTAAGGCTCTTTCATTACTTGTTTGATCGGAATGAAACTTGGCACAATTATTCTAAGCATTATTCCGCATCGATTGACTGAGTTCGAATTTTTACTTTTGACCTTTGAAGCAAGTTACAAGCAATTCTTGATATATTTGCAGCAAATAATATATACATATCATTAATATTCAGCCTATATATAAGTAAACGGAAACGATTAGAAATACATTGTCCTTTCCATTGTTATAAATACAATGCAGTTCAGAAATTAAACTCGGTTACGCAGTTCCTGGTCCCTATAGTACGATCGTACTTGTTCTATCTGGACCGACCAAAACGGTAAACAGGCGTTCGGTCGTATTATAATTGCATGGTCAAGACTCAGCAGTGGCGACAAAAACATAGACAATCAAAACCTCATTCGTTTAATTTGAATGCTCGTTTAAATGCTCTTATACGGCAGCTGTGCACATCCATCATGACCTACATCGTACCCAACAATTGACGATAGTGCACATATTGCTTTGTTACTAATTCAAACGTACCCATTCCTAAAAGGAACATTTGGAGCAAGACATGTAAGTTTACTCTTTACTCATTCAATTGATATTTACTGTTAGCCTGCTGTGCTAATAATTTTCATTAGGACAATTGAAAAATTAATTTATTATGCCACATGCAATAAGGAAGGTTGAAGACTTTAAGGGAGGGAGGAGCCAGGTAAAGGGATTTGACAATTTTTTACTTCCAAAGGAGGGTTTCAGAAAGTGTACTAAGTACTCTGAAGATGGTAAAAATTAGAGAATGCCATTTGCTACTGAAGAGAAACGTAATGTAATTATGCAATTAATTGTCTCTTTCAGCATATGTGGGTCAAAAAAATCCAAGAACGTTTTGCCAATGTGAAGAAAATGTTGGCAAAGCAAGAAACAAAAAGATTGCACGATGAAGGTATAGATGTGCCAAAAGGAAGAAAGAAAAAAAAAGAGTGCGCTGCAATAGTGCCAGCCATTCCTGATGGGGAAACTGACAACACACTAGAACAGCAGAGAAAGAAGCTGCAGGAAATGTACCAAAAAGGCAGCAAAGATTACAGCCTGGTAAAACGTCTTATGGACAACACGTATGCAAAAAGAAGGCAAGAAATTGTCTTGCATAACACAAGAGTCTGGAAGATTCTACATGTACAGATTCTACTATGATTGTATGTAAAATATTATAGATCAAAGCAGAATTGGAAAGAAATGAAGGAAAGAATGAGATAGGGAAGGAAATAAGGGGGTTGTGGGAGGAGAACAAACCGAAGCTGCTATCTGCACCAAAGAAAATCCAGTCGCGCGAGGTTAAAAACATCATAGAGAAATTGGACGAATGCAACGCGTCAGATGAAAGGGGTATAATTACAAAACTATTAATGTATAGTTAAATTTTTACTCTCTAAGACTTACTATATCAAGATTGTTATTTTATATCAAGAATATTATGAATTACTGAAATAATACTTCCATTTAATTTTTTGTAGATTTGGAAGACCAATGTATTTTCGCCTCCCTACCGCATGCTCTTGGTGAGAGAAAGACCACCAAATTAACTCCAGGAGAGTTCTTTCTTAATT